CTCCAAAACTTATTTCTGAATTTCATCTGGAAAATCAAGACTCATATTCAGTAAACGTAAGGACTCCCAAATAAATCCTGACACATATTTAAAGTCCAATTGTAATTAGAATAAAACTCCAATTACAACTCAGAGAAAAATATGCAGATGACTGCAAACATAACAGATCAAGATAACACTCCAAAAGGATGAAACATATTGTTTTAATTTATTCCTGCAGTTTCAAGAATCAACAAGTCTTGTAGATCCACTGTAAGAAAAGATCTCTCTAAGTGACTTTATGGGTGTGCATTTTGAGTTTAGAAAAATACTGAATTTCATAAAAGGAGTGGTCAGAATTTAGTGAAAATTAGATCCCTTAAGGTTGTTTAATTTGACTATTTGAAGTCACCTGTTACTTTTAAAGGTACTAGATTGAATTGTCAGAGATTATTCATGCATGTGTATTATAATGTAGATGCTTTAAACCTGAGGGGATTTGCTCTTTTTATTTACACATCGTATTGTATGTACTTATAGTAATTTTAACAGAACTATTAAAATTTTCCTTTTTAGACTGGAGAACAGCAGCTTCCTATCTCAAAAGCATAGGAGTTATGATAGTCTTTACTTATTTTTAGGTAAGCAGGCCTGGTAACCATCAGAGATATGAGAAACCTTAACTACTTATATTATCACACCCCTGGATAAGTACTTTTAAAAATCTAGATTCATGGAATAAAGAGCAGGAAAACATAAAATCATGCAGAATTTTTTTTTTTTTTCCTCTAAGAGTGCTAAATGTTATAAGTTAGTATAAGAATTTAGACAACTCAATTCCAATTAAACATTGATAAATTTATTAAGTAAGCGATAATAAAGCAAAACAGCGCTGGGTGGCCTGGAGGGCAGTGCCCTGCCGAGGCACACACCGAAATGAAGTCAGTGTCTCTTTTTATACATGTTCGTGGTTCTTAAGTACATGTTAAGTGGTGTCTGGCATTGGCTTTTCGGATGTAAATTTGTTTGTTGCTTGAGTTCGGTGGCTGGGTAAGTGGTAGTCTGGTATTTGTCAGAGATGAAAAGGTGCAGTTCTTATCAGTTGTTTATTGACACTTGCTTGATTAGCAAGCTGTCTGTGAAACTCCTCTTGTTTAATTACAACAAAAAGTTTCTGACTCCCTCATACACATAAGATTTTACAAACAAAGTTAACCCTTCTATTACACTAAAGAGATTTATTTTTTCTTCAATATAAGATTCAGGGAAGTTACTCAAGAAATAGATCCTTAAGCACAGAAATATGAGTGAATACAGAAGATTTTTGAATAATAGTTAATAATTTCTAGACAAGTACTGCATTGATACAATGTTTGCCAATATCTGGTAATACATAAATTACCCAACACCCTGGTAGGCTGAAACTGAGGGGTTGATGCACCAGTAAAAATCAGTTCTTATAGCAGTGATGGTCAACACTAGGAAAACAAGTTTAATAGGCAGTAATTAATCTTTTCAGAAGGAGGAAAACAAAAGACACAAGGGAAGAAATTTACTTCACAATAATTCTCCAAACCTTTTTAAAAAGCGAATGTTCAAATTACAACTCTAAACCTTTTGGCTGATGAAAAACATCTCATTACCCCATACAACATCATCATCATAAAGACAGATTAATCTATTCTCACTGTCAGTAATGTATTGCTAACTCCAAACTGAAGATTGGTGTTTTGCTATTGAAATGTCAATGTCAAAAATTGCACATAACTCATTAGAATCACTGGCATCTTCAGATTTAATTACACATACAGCCAAAGGAAGCCCACTAGGTCAGAGGTGGTTATTGTGGATAAAAAATCATAATAAGAGTATTTTGGAATAAAATTAAATATCTTTTTTCAATGGTATTTTAAAACATCACATTTATTTTTTTTTGTCCTTTCTATCTTGCTTAAGATACCAAATTATCATACATGACGCAGAAAAACCAGCTCATGCCTGCTGCTATGTCACATAGATGATTTGGAAATTTTACTTATCATTTTCACCCTCACTTCTTTAGCTGCCATTGAGCCAAATGTATCCCTGTTCCACAAGTGTTTAAGTACGTGACTAACTTTTCATTAAACACAATGCAAAACATAATCATGAAAATTACTATTAAGTTCTTGTAAAATTATGGCTTTAGCCATCAGACTTCTGATTGCTAGTGCTTTCCCATTTCTGCTGGGTTTGCAAACTCAAGATAGAAGAGACCTATGTAACACAACATGAAGTGTGGGGAGTTGCACCAGCACCACTTTGAAATGCAACACTACCCACACTTTTCTGGTAAGTCTGATTGTTCAATGACTTAGCATCTGCATTGTGTGGAAATCATTGTGTTTGGGCTCTTCATCACAGCTGCAAATTTTCTGCCATTTCTAGTAGTTAAAAGAGACTTGGCAAGACAGGCCAGCTACGGGAGACTGGTAAACGACTCAAACAATGGGTCATTTGCAGAGGCAGCAGGGTGCTTTGCTGGGGCCAGGTTTGCATCCCTTAGCCAGAGGGGAGGAGGAGGAGGGTTTGGGTGTGTGGTGACAAAACCTCTGATCTGCATAAGAGAGAAGGGTTGAGCAATCACCACAGGAGTTTACAAGCTGGGTTTTGAGCCAGATAAGGGAGAAGGCTGATAAGAAGCAGACCCTGTGGAGGTGGGATAGTGTTTCTTATCATGGGAATGTCCTCCTTTACACAACTGGCTCAGTTGAAACACCTCTCCCCGGGGAGGTATCAGGACATTCATAGGTAGGCCTGAATTTATCCATCCCTTCTGATGGAGTATAACTGGCTCAACTACACTGCCATGAGAATCAGCTGTCAGTTCTTAGAAGGTGGAGCCCCTGGTGGTCTAGGGGGTAAAGGCGCCGCGCTATCACCGCGGAGACCCGGGTTCGATTCCCGGTCAGGGCCACTCCCGGGCAGGTGGGGCTCGTTAGCCCTTAAAGGCAACCCACCTACGTCCTAAGGACCTCGCTGCCACCGTCCAAGCTCGCTTGGCCCCGGCAGATGAACCTTAGGATTAAAGGGTGGGCTCAGTTCCGCGCACACTGTGTCTCACCTAAAAAATCCAATGCGCAGGCTGGAAGGTGGAAAGACCTTCCCCGGATCTTCGCTCGCGAAGACTGGCCATTATCTTAGAAGGTGTCATAAACCACCAAAGACCCCCAAAGCACCCCGAGACTCATTTCTGGGGCCTTCCACGAGAGGCCTACTCCTGATTCACAGTGTGGTAACAGAGAGTGGAAACTCCTCTCTCCTTCCCTGGGTCAGGTACTGGGTGTTATATTATCACCCATAGAACTTTGTGTTCTATGGGGTTCCCAATGGCGACCACTGGAAGTGGAAATTACTGCTACTAAGTCTTGATACTGGATCCACGGGAGGTCAGATCTTTGTATTCTTATCCTCTCTTTCTTTCTTTCCCTTATACAGTTTCTTAAGGGTTATTTTTATGCTTTTATATTGCTATATTTCTATAGATAACAAAAACAGCTACATACCTCTTTTCCATTGCAGCCAAATTGTTCTAAAATAAAACCTACATATACATGTATGTATATATTATCTACATCTATGTATATTTTATATATATATACACACACACATATATACCTATAAACACTGATCATTCAATGTTGTTTCACTCTAATCTGTCCCAAAGGATCTATTAACCACTCACCTTCAAGGGCAGATCGTAACACCAGCCACCCTTGTTCTGTATTTACAAATGGCTTCCATCCTCAGAAGGAGCCCTGAAAGAAATACTGCTACTTTTTTTTTCCACAATCACCAATAACCATCTCATAGCGTGGTTTCACTCACAGCAAAGGCTGATTCATTTTTTTTTCCTCACTCTGCTTAAGAAATACAATATATTTAAATGCACAGCTTCGGCGTTCAGCTTGTTAAACAAATGCTGAAGAGCAGAACATTCACTCCCCCATTTCAGGTGCCAAGAAGGCTGCTGATTTTATTTTTCAAAGGGGCCAATTTTCCACTTTGAACATACAGCTAATAGTGGCACTTCTGTCAAGAGGGGGTAATTCTTCTGCTCAGCACTCCATTTAAAAGCATGAATTTGGAGCAGCTTTTGCATAGCTTCTGGTTCAATTCTTTATGACATATAAGAGGAGAGTTTTTGAAAACTCTTTTTTTCAGTATAACTAAAAGATCCAGTTTCAATGGCAGAGTGACTAGAGAGGAATATTCTTTCCCCCAGGCAACTAAGACAACTTCAAAGACAAAATTCAGGAATGGGACAAAGAAAGTGTCAAAGGAAAGAGTAATATTGAGCTTAGACCCTTAACCAAAGCCAAGGAAGGTATTCAGGGACTTATTTCTCTCTATAGAAACAGTAGCCTTCCATGATAATGTGATTAATTCTCAAAACAAGCCAGTTTTTCTGAGGTATTTTTAAACCCTAGAAAATTAAATGGTCCAAATATATAACATGACTACCTTTCCAATATCATTATTTGAAACCTATGTTTAGGAGCAATCATAAGAATCTCTTATTTTAAAAAATGTAAAGCAAGACTGTAAACATAGCCAGGGATCTCAAGAATCACCTTCAGTCTTCTTCTAACAAAACCATCAATATACATAACATCACCAATAAAGACTCAATACAGAGACTACATCTTGAGACAATAAATGCATTCACATCATCTTAATTGTTCTTTCACTCAGATTGATAGCAATTCAGGAGCAATAGCCCAGAAACTCACAAATAACCTAGATCTTGGCATACTTTTACTTTCTTCTTGAGGGGGAGGTGTATTTGTTAATGAATCCAAAGGAACTAATTGCATTTATTTTAAGTTGCAAGACTATTCTAATACAATTCACTACTAAAAGGGTAGATGAAAGCCTAAGCATGGGTATTTTCTTTAAAACCTAGAGGTATTATGAGGTCATTTTAGACATCTGAAACTATAATAGCATACAATTACAGTCAATTAAAATGGAATATTTACCTTGCAAACCAGTTTCCACAGATACAAGCAGGAAAGACAAAGAGTTCTGCCAAGTTTTCCAGTTCCACTGCTCACTTACTAGAAAACAAAAAGAAGAAAATATATTTAGTCTTGTCAGTTTTACTAAGCTTTTTGAAATGGTGATGTTTTCAGTGAAATGCCTTGAGATGTTTTAGAATGATATTTAGCTCTTATAAAAAAGGAATGGAAAAGATTGTCAGAGCCATAAGTGTGTCTGCTGAGATAAATATGGTTAGAGGCTACTGAAACCTCCTAATAACACCAAAAAATAGTGTGCACTCGCTGGCACTCAAGGGGAGCAAGAAGTTGTTGCCTACATTAGATTAGAGAGACATTTACTAAAGGATCTTAAGATGAAGCCAACAAAGCATTAAAACTAGAATGGAGACAAAGAAAAAAATTCTCTTCAACAGCAGGATTAAATACTCTCTGCTGGTGGTGGAATTCAGCACCTCCACAGATTTCTCTGTCCATGTCTCCAACTCTGCAGTAAGAAAGGAGATTTTTAGAAACATATTGTTTTACCATATTGAATTAAAATCTGAACTTTCCATTTATTTTCACTGGACACATGAAAAAACACGTCTTACACAGTGATGGTTGAGAAGTTAACAAAAGTTTGGAACTGTGTGTGTTTCAGGACTAGAATATGCCTAAAAGAACTACAGATTATACGATAATCCAGAACTGTGCTATTTCAAAATTAATCTGAAAAAAAATACTAGACTCTTCGAATCAACATGTCCTTATAAGCTTCTCAGAAAAACAAACCAAAAGAACAAAATTATTCATCTTCTTGCCTCATGGAAATGACTTTTCCAAGATCTTCCACAATGGTTGAAAAAAGACGGCCCTACGTGTCTACAAAAACCACATCTTGATCTGATAGAGATTATTCCATCAACAAAACCAACCAAATAAAATAAAAAGAATGAAAAATATTAGTTAAAATATTCTTAGGATATAATAATCATGGAATCATAGAATCAACTGGGTTGGAAAGGACCTGTGAGATCAAGTCCAACCCTTGACCCACTACCACCATGAATAACACTGTAGTTATAGGAAAGATCAGATATTACAAGCAAATACAAACTTCATGAAGAAATATAATGTTTTATCCAACTTATTCAACTAACTTGCTATGTGGTTTACAAATATATGAGTTAATTAAATGATTTTATATTTTTTATATTTATATAATTTATATGATATTATACATGTTTGTCATGAACAAATTAGAAGGACCAATAGCTGAACTGCAGAATGAAACTACAACATAAGGAATTTATGCAATTTGCTGAAGGGGTCTTGGAAGGCAGTGATGAGGTGCCAGCACTCCAGAGAGTACTGTCTCCAATAAACACAGTTGCTTCCCTAGAGAAGAAGTTGGGTGGCCCATTTGCCAAAGCAGTAATTTTGACATGAGATTTGCTACAGTTCTCTGTTATCTCCCCAGCAGCAGATAATTTTCAGTCAGCTTCTTTTGTGGGGAACAAACCCCAAACAAACCCAAAAAAGAAAAAGGAAACAAGACCAAATCCTCACTTTTATATAGCAGTTTCTTGTTTGGTTGGACTTTTGGTTTTTTGGTGGTTTGTTTTTTTTTTTTTTTCTAGTAATGCAGGTCACAATGGGATGTAACTGAAAATATTCTACCTTTGAAATAATTAGTTTGAGAGAAGGGACAGATTAGGCAAATTTTCTAGAAATTCAGGTCTTGGGCTTCTGGACCTGCTTTATGCAATTTTCTTGGCCTTCTATTGTTCTGTAGGACCTGTATGTTTGTATCACAAAAAAAAACCCACCAAGTATCCTCCACCCTCACCCCATTGCTTAAGTGAGAAGATTAAAACGTGCAGGCAGAAAATTTGCCATGGAATTTTTTTGAAGCAATTGTTATGGAATAAAAACTTTAGATTCCATTATTTTGCTGAAACAAGAACACTCCAGACTCTGAATCTGGAAAAGCTTAAACATTTTCTTCTTGATGGAAACTCAGATTCATGCATAAATCCAATTGTACTGCTTTTATTTTTGCATCTCCCAGAGACAGTGAAATATTTTGAAATTCCAATACTATCTTCTATTAATAAAGATGTCAAATTATTTTTTGAAGAAATGAAAATAACTAATGATACAAGAAAACAGGAAGAAAGAACCACTAGGACTGCATTTTCTGAATGTATAAGACTGACAAAAGAAATGTTCTGTTAACAGGCAGAACATTCCTAGACAGTTTATTTATCTTTATGATGAAATTATAAGAAATGAAATAATGAGAAATCATAAGAAAACACCCAGCAACTGATAGATATAACCCTGAATATAGATAAGTTGGGCATCAAAGAAAGTGAAGTTATGACTAGAAAGGTGGAGGGGTGGGGTGTGGGATGAGGGGAAGGTGTTTTCTACTTTGTTTTTGTTTCTTATCAATCTACTCTATTATTAACTGGCAATAAATTAAATTCATTTTCTGTAAATTGAATTTGTTTTGCCCATGGCAATACTCGATAAATGGTCTCCTGGACCTTAGCTTGACCTTTAAACTATCTTACCTAATTTTCTCCCCCTGTCCTCTTAAGGAAGGGGAAAAGACCTCTAAAATCATCAAATCCAACCATTAACTGAGTGCCACTATGTTCACCACTAAACCATACACCAAAATACCAAACCCACACATGTTCTGAACACTTCCAGGGATGGTGACTCCATCACTTCCTTGGGCAACTCGTTCTACTACTTGATCATCCTTTCCATGAAGAAATTAACTTCCTAATATCTAATCTGAACCTGCCCTGGTGCAACTTGAGGCCATATCTTGTCATCCTGTCTTGTTATCTGGGAGAAGAGGCCCCACCTCACTACAGTCTCCTTTCAGGTAGTTGCAGAAAGTGATAAAAACCCCTCTGAGCCTCCTTATCTCCAGGTTTAACAAACCCAGCTCCCTCAGCCACTCTTCATCAGCTTCATTGCCCTTCTCTGGACACACCCCAGAACCTCAATGTTTTTCTTTTAGTGAGGGGCCCAGAACTAAACAGAGGTTTTGAGGTGGGGCCTCACCAGTGGTGAGTGTAGGGGGACAACCCCTGCTCTGGTCCTGCTGGCCACACTTTCTGATACAAGCCAGGATGCCATTGGCCTTCTTGGCCACCTGGGCACACTGCTGGATCATGTTGAGCTAGCTTAGAGTCAGTTTTTTAAAAACTTATATGAACTAGCTAAGAAAAAACTAAACCATGTTGGTCACAGATATCACACTCTCCCTGACAGAAAGAAATTGGTATTGAAGAAGTTAATTCAAAAATGTCTGCTGCATGCTGAAATCTTCAAACAAGACCTTTGAGAGTCAGCTTTAGCAATAGGTAATAAAACTTTCCAAAACTTTGCTGCTTTTAGTACAGTTGGTAAGTTGTACCAGACCACTGCAACCTATAGGCACCTCTTCTCCTGACTTCATTCCACTCTTCCCAGGTAAGAGGAGTTCCAGATCAAGACAGTGGAAATGTAGCTTTGTGAGGGTAGACATTTTTCTGAAATACTCACTGCTTCCTATGTGGAGTTAAAGGGCATACTGTATTCTCTAGATATGTAATTGCGTATTAGCATTTCAGATTACTACACAAGAAAATACTGGAAATAGAAATAGAAAAATCAGATGTTAAAACTGACACAGCTGAAAGTACTGAGTTTAGGTTGCAGAAGAGGTTAAACTTCCTATGGAAAAATCCTAGGGATACTTTAGCACTGAATTTAGCACTATTGCAGCTGTGGAACATTCAGTGTTTCTGCCATGATGAAGCATGGGTAAACATCTGTGAGAATTCACATATACAACCAGAGGCAGCACTGGGGTTATATGCTCTTGAGGACCTATAAAACTTTTCTCCCATAATCTTTTCAATAATTTCCAATATTAAACCAGTAGAAACTGGATATAGTCTTGGGTTTACACTTTATCATCTGATCTAAGATATATATCCCTCATCACTTTATTTCTGTTATCACTAGTGATCAAATATGAATAAAGGCAATATTTTCAGGTTTAAATTCATGAGAAAAATGGAAAAAAAAGATGGTAAAACTTCCCTGTTCAGCTATACTCGAGTTTTATCATCATTCATTACTCCATTTTCTATTTGAATGATTATGCATGAGATTTTTGAAAACTAAACAATTTCAGACTTTTTAATTCAAATGATATATTATCTCTTTTCCTTTCCACAGAGCTCATACAAATTTATTGATGCTTTTGTTCAAAGTCAAAATATGGAGGCATTCTGCAATAAAATAATTAAATTCTGTCATTCTCTTCATTTTTCATAATCACAGAACCTTCAATTAAAATGAATTTTGACTAAGTTTAATGTTTAAGAACCATTACGAGAAAAAGTGATGTGAATTAACTTATGGTCTTTTTAAAATCCGTACTCCCAAACATTTATGTTTTATGACTTTAGAAAATTATTCATTTTTCCACTGGAAATCAAAGTAATTTGTCACTATCAAAATGTCAAAAATAACATGCAAAATTAAAATTATAAACACATGAAAGCACAAACCCTTCACTTCAGGATAAATATCAAAGTGTGACCTGATTAAAACTAATCAGATAATCACCTGACTCTCTCAGTGTTTGTTCTCTGCAACCAACAGCACTCCTCCATAAAGACTACACAATTGTTGGTTTGATTCCTCTTCATACCCCTCAAGTGCTCCCCAGGTTTACAGCCATCTACCAAAATCTTGTTACACATATCTGGAAAACCAGAAGGCAGTTTTGTTATGTCTTGACTATATATACATATATATATATATATATATATATATATATATATGTATATATGTGATCTCTAGCTTTTTATTTTAATCTGTACTATTCCAAACATAAAGGTAACTAATATAGACATATGCCTCCTACTCAAATCTCTCATGCATCCCATCCCACCTCCTTGCATGGTGGATGAAACACTGTTTGGTGTGTTACACATCAGCTATTAAGAATTCCCTAAGGACAGACAAATATTCTGATTATTTCTTTACAATGAAATGATCAA